ACTCTAAACCCTAAACCCTGCCTGGGAAGAGGAGATCCTCAAAAAGTGACCCTTTTTGTGCGGAGAGCCCCTAGAGTCCTAGAGACAGAGGAACAGCTCCCGAGCGGAACTCTTCGACATTAGCAACTCTGCAGACCGGGAGGTGGCTGAAGGGCTGTTTAAACCGGGCTTGAGTTTAGGGTTGAGGAGGGGTGGCAGATTCATCGGCTTTAGGGGGTTTAGGGTTTAGNNTTAGGGCTTAGGGCTTGGAAGGGTTTTCTGGGTCAGTGCGGGGATCCTGTTTGCTCCATGTGGCTTGGATTTTCCGGGTTTCCGAATCGTGCGAAACCGTGAACAGGATCTGCTTGCTTTCCTAACAACACTTAAGAGTTTGCAGTTTGTGACTAGGCTGATTACTTTAGAAGTTTTGGTTCAGCGAAAACGGTTCTATCAAACATAAACCACTAATCTTAAGCCTAATTCCTAAACCTAGAACTTTAGGCCCCGAAGCTCTTAACGCCAGATTCCGTTCCTGTCCGAACTTACTTTCAGTCCAGCCTGCATCTTCATCTACTTACTGCTTGCCGTGTTCTTCTTTGGGAGAGTTTGTGGCCTGGAGCTAGTGGTTCTGGCTTCGCTGTAACCAATACTCTTCCTACAAGCCGGGTTGTGGGGCAGGGCTCAGGATATACATATATATATATATATATATTATAAATATGAATGTTTTTTTTGTGTATACACATACATGTATGGCCATCCTCAACCAGCCCGAAGCAAGAAGAGCGTCCCAGTGACCCAAAGCCTGTGAGATGGGAGCCTTTGTTTGCAATGTGGGGGGCTCCGAGTGCACTGCACGGTCCCGCAGGTGCTAATCTTGGGGCCAGAGCCCATTCTTCGATACTGTGTCTCCTTTTTTGAGGGTTGAGACATTGCCCCCCCTTCCCCCCCTCACCACCCCGGGACCTCAAACCGAAAGTGGCCGAGTTGCCACGCGGAAATTGCGTGATGTGACTCCACTGACGGCTGTCGTTGAAAGGTTGGCTTTGCGTGAAGTTTCATGATGATGATGATGATGATGATGATGATGACGACTCTTTTCTTTTTTTCTTCTTCTTCGTGTGCTGCTGCTGCTGCTGCTGCTGCTGCTGCTGCTGCAAAGTACAGTGACTAAGTTGTCGCATTAAGGCTGGCTATGACCAACAACCGTCTTTAAATGGAGCTGTTGTTGGTCTTGTTTTGGCCTGGTTGCCATTTTCTTGTCCCCCTTATCGCGATGATGTTGAACTTGAAACTCCTACGATGAAGTTTTCGTAGTTCATTGGCTCTCTGAGCCCTGACCCAAACATGCAGGACGACGACGGCAACTGGGAAACCTCAGCAGCTTTCAGGCAACCCTTGAATGCAAGTTCTTCGTCGGAAACAGCGAAGCTTCGGGGTGTTGATTCGGAGGGTTTTTTTTTGGTAGCTCTTTCAGCTAGCCACCCTTAAACCCTAAACCCTAAAACCCTAAAGCCCGAACTCCCTGTTTCAGGGGTCTAGAGTCGGGTGTCTTTGGTCGCGGGTCGAGAGTCGAGCATCCAGGGCTGGGGCTGGTTGAGCTTCAGATGCACCCTAAACCCTAAACCCTAAACCCTAAACCCTAAACCCTAAACCCTAAACCCTAAACCCTAAACCCTAAACCCTAAACCCTAAACCCTAAAGCACTGACAGGCATAGACCCGGCATCTAGCTAAACCCAGAGAAAAACCCTAAGCTCTGAAGTCTAAGCCCCATGCCTGATGTGCCTAAGGAATCGCGAGATGCGGATCTACATCAACATATGTATTTCAGCTTATGTCCTATGTGCTCGTGCTTAGGCAGATTGCAACACGGTATCACACACCAGAATTCATTCCCATATGCTGCTGACATGCAAGTACCAGCATGAGAACTTTCATCTGTCTACCATTAACTTTCGCATTTCGGCAGGTCTATCCTGCGCAGGTAGTGTCGTGTAGCATTCTGTTTGGCATGAAGTGTACACTCTGTGGCCTTAGCCTTGAATCCTAATGTAGGGGCCTTAATAATTAGAATAGGGTGTTGGGGCCCATTATACTATCATCATAATAAGGAACCCCCGCAAAAAAATAGTATAGGTAATCACTTAGGCCCCTACATTAACCCTAAACCCTAATTCCTAACCCCCCAAAGCCCAATCCTTGCGACCTTACCCGTGGAGGACCACGCCGTCCCTGGCGACGCCAATCGCCTCATTGTGCTTCCACCTCTCCAAATCCATGTCGCAGCTCGCCACAACTTTGGGGCTTAGGATTTAGGATTTAGGGTTTAGGGTTTAGGGTTTAGGGTTTAGGGTTTAGGGTTTAGGGTTTGGGGGTTTAGGATGGTGTTCGGGCAGCGGGTTTGCGGAGTTCAGTGTCCAGGGTTTGGCATTTCGGTTTTTAGAGTCCTTGGTTTTCAGGCTTTCGGCTCGCAGGCTTTAGGTTTTGCTTAAATCCTCAACCCTACGCCCTAAATCCTCCCCGATTGAGGGTTTCCACATCAAGACATGTGTTGGACGGGAAGGTCCTCGTCTTGCTTGCTTAAGGATTCCTAACTACGAAGCCCCTACCCTAAGCCCTTTAAGGAGCCCTAAACCCGAAACCCTAAGCCCTAGACCCTAAATTCTAAACCCTAAACCTTTACTCCCTAATGCTTCCCTGCAAGTATGTATGTCGGTACACGAGTGGGCTTCGGGGTCTTACGAGCAATAGTTGCGGGAGGCATATAGGTCTAGGGTTGAGGGTATATGGTCGTCGTAGTATCATCCTAGCAATGGCACTTGGTACTTGTCATGGTGCATAATCATATCAGCAATCCGATAAATCACGACCATCGTATGGACGTTGCGGTCACAGAGAAAGGCTTTCAGCATTTTCTCAGGTCTATGGGAAAAAGAGAAGTATGATGAACCCAGTTTGAACCTTTTTAGGGGTTTGGGAGTTTAGAAAGAGAAGTTTTATATCATAGCTTTATTGCCGGAGACGAGAGGACCGGATAGTTTGGCGCACCTATACCTCTCAAAAGTGCCGGGGGGCTCCCCCGGTTCGAGCATTTGTGGTTCTAGGGATTTAGGTTTGCAGACACTTCGCATCTTAACTCTTTGTGTTTTTTGTGTCTTACAGTCGTTAGCACCAATAATCCACCAACCTTCGTTCTTCTTCCCGCCCACTGAGGCAAGATTCTGACCAGCGACAGCTCCTTCAGAAGGCCTTTCTAGATGCATCCCGTTTCTAGTGGCCGTGTATACAACAGATTCCCGTTCCGGTACTAAGCGTCATGAGCGGCAATATCATTCACGAGAGCCCCAGGATAAAAGTTCTGAGCCAAAACCTCGAAAGCCCCAACACATCCTCTAATCGTGGAGGCCTCTTGAACCCCAATAGAACGCAAGTAGAACCTTGCAACCTCTGCGGGGGCTCCATGCTTGAAAACGACCTGTTCGGCAACTCTTGGCCGTTCTGAGCCACGTTCATTCTACTGCACCCATCTTCATAGCGAGGCCCCTCGCAAGGGCCAGCATTTTTGCAACAGGCCCCTGATGGCTCCCCAAGAGCCACTTCGGAAGCCTCTGTGTAGCTGATAAATGAGCCTTCACCATATATGCATGTGCATATGCATATGTATATGTATATGTATCGGTTCCTGCTCTTTCAGGTGCGTTTATTCGCCATGCAGGAGTAGATGCTCTAATAATATTTCTGTCGCTTGCACAGTTGCGCAGATGTGGAGAAAGCCGAGGTTTTTGTGATTCCGGGTCTCGGGGATGGATTCAGATAGGGGCTAAGGCTTCAAACTTGTTTGGTCCATGCGAGTTCCAATTATAATGCCCAAGCCCCGAACTACAGACCCTGACCACAAGTCCGGCACAAAAGGCTTAACCGCAAACGCGAGCCCCCCCCCCCCCCCCCCCATTCCCCCGCTCCATTCCCACCCCGCAAGCCGTAGCTGTGACTCTAAATTACGAAACCTGAAGCCCTACCTAGACTCCAAGATGAAGACCCCAAAGATGAAGACCCCAGACAGGCCACGCAGCTGCTAGAGCCGCTGCAGGAAGAGCAGCGTCTCGAACAGCACTGGATTTTGAGACTCCAGACGGTACTTAGGGTTCCGTTTCGGGCACCGCAGCAACCGCACTATGCCCCTGACTTCGTAGGCCGGCTGGTGTTGTGGAAACACGAATTTAGATTGCGAGTCTTTGGTCACATACAATGACAGTTACCGGAGTCCTTGTGGGAGCAGAAAGTCTGAACATCGTTGCCAGCTTGTCCGAGACCTTAACTAGAGCCGTATTGACGAAGAACCCTTCGGCGCCGCTAGACGGGGGCATTCCACCGCTCCGTCTTAAGACCCTTTCAACCGAACGCAACCCCAAAATCCTCAAGCCTGGACGTAACAGAGGTATGGGCTCTACGCCACGGCGGCCCTTCAACTGGCGTGGCCTGTCTTCTTCGTTGGGTCTTCAGGGTTTAAGGGTTTTTGCATCGCTTGATTTAGGGCGTGAGGCTGAGGAGCTAGAGCTTTTGTTCAGGGTTGCGGGTCAGTTTAGGATTCTGTATACATGGACCTGATTCAGAACCATCCGTTAAGGCTATCTCAAAGCTACCACCATCTTCGGGGGCTTGCAAACCTTAGCCTTAGATCCTCAACCCCACTCCCAACACGCCCTCAGGCGAGAGTGCCTTAAGCCCTCAACCCTAAACAACCCCCTCAACCCTAAACCCTAAACCGCTAAACCCTAAGACGAAAGTGCCTTAAACCCTCAACCCTAAACAACCCCTAAACCCTAAGACGAAAGTGCCTTAAACCTTCAACCCTAAACCCTAAGACAAAATTTGCCTTGCCCTTAAAGCCCCTGGCTTCCGACCTTTAAAAGCCTAAAGCCTAAGCCCCAGGTGCTCGTACATGCGCACGCCTGTGGCTGCGATCTCCGACAAGGGCTCCTCAGTTGCTGCTCCTCCTGGTGGCTTGGCTTCATACAGTTTGGTTTAGGGTTGGGTTCAGGGTTTAGGGTTTGTGGCTTAAGGCTTCAAGCTTTTAGGGTTTAAGGCTTTCAGCTTGTAGGGTTTTAGGGGTTAGGGTTTGGGGCTTTCTTTCTATGTAGAAGGCAGATTACGTGGTATTTCTTGGCATTGCCGAATCTGTCTCGAGTAGAACACCTTCGGTATGATAGCTCCAAGCCACGGCCAAGGCAACGCCCCCGCTTCAGCGCGTTTGAGTGTGGCGATGCGCTACTTAGAGAAGGCCTGTCCTCTGGGGTGTTGAGGCGTCTAAGGTTGCTCTCCGGATTACTACGAAGATTCGAGGAAGGGTTAGGATTTAGGGTTTAGGGTTTAGGGTTTAGGGTTATCACAAGGGTTGCCAAAAGGTTTACTATCGCGGTAGGTATGCGGCTCAGGGTTCTCATCTGGGGCTTTAGAGGTCCCGGGATGCTTCCCTTCGGAGATTCGGGTTGGGCTTCATGCCTTGCGGTTTAGGACTCTATGAGCTCCAGGCACCAAATATCCCAAAGGCTTCTTGGATGGGATGGAGGACTAAGATTTTTTCGTGGAGCCTTCGGCTGAGCTTCTCGCAGCAAGGCGACGACGTCGAGCTGATCCCCCCAACACCCTGAACCCAAAGAACATGTTTCAACCTCAATGCGCCCAGCCGTGTTTCGGATGTAGAGGGAGACGGTTGATGGACAAAATTCTGCATGACCCAAATATAGTATAGTACCATAAATCCCATACTTTAGGTATATAAGGTCATGCATGATTTTGTCCAACAGGAGAAACAGGTGTTGAGGGTGGGCATGTCATCATTTTCTGCGCTCTCATCCCAGATCCTGAGCTCCAAAAGGCGGTTCAAAGTTTTGGGGTCTACGTAAGGGTTTAGGGTGTTGAGGGTTTAGGGTGTTTAGGGTTTTAAAGGTTTTAAGGGTTTAGTTTAGGGTTTAGGGTTTAGGGTTTAGTGTTGACAGGTGTTCCTAAAGCCTAAGGCCTGACTCTCTAATCTTCGCGATTGAATGACGTCCCAGCCCCCCTAGCCACAGCATGTCCTAACAACCAAAGGGCCAGAGTCGTGGTAAGAGCCTCTCGAGGTCCAACTCTTTCGAAGGCCACAACCCCCCTTTTTTTTCAACTTGATCCCCTGCCCCGGCGACCAAAGCAAGCACCTCGTGCATGAGAGTTTTCATATCTGAGGGACCCCCATTTCGACCCCAATCTACAAGGATGCTCGTTGCCTGCACTCCTAAATAAGGTTAAAGCACCCGAAATCTAGAAGCCCCCCCTGAGTCTCACCAGAAATCTAGAAGCCCCTGACGGGACCCCTAAGTCTACATGCCAGGTGCTTCGGCTGCTGAGCGGAATAAGCGATGACACCTCCACCCTACGGGCCGGGCTGCTGCTTCAGGGGCAGGCCCTTTGATGAGTTTAGGGTTTAGGGTTTAGGGTTTAGGGTTTAGGGTTTGGGGTTTAGGGTTTAGGGTTCAGGGTTTAGGGCAGGCACTTTGATGACCGGAGATTTGGGGATTCGGGAACTTGAGCCATCAGCCCTAGGCTTGATTCCAAGAAGCATGTAGGACCCGACATCCGAAGCTACATAATGTCTGCTCTTAGACTTCAAGATTTGGGGTTCGGTTCCCTGTTAGAAGCTTCCTTGAAAACGATTTTCTATTCGGGCCTGTTTATTTCGTACTTCCCGGCTTCGAGCTTCTCAATCGGGCTTGTTCTGAAGGTCCGAACTGTTGATCTGCTTGAGCTATCAGGCACATCTATCCCTATGGAGGGGGTTTAGGGCTTATGTTTAGGGGTTTGGGGTACTAGGGCTTAACTCTAGTGTTTCAGGTATCTGATCAAAAATATCAATCATAACTTCAGGGAGATTTTTGGGTCCGGGGCTGTGGGGAAACCCTGAACGGTGTTCCGCAGGGCTCTTCGGGTTTAGGGTTTAGGGTGTAGGGTTTAGGGTTTAGGGTGTACGGTTTAGGGGCTTTAGCTTTAGGTTTGGCGCTGTAATTTACAGCAATGACTTTGTACATCTCGATGGACCATCGTCAGACAACACAGGCAAGGAGCACCCATCACTCAAAGCTCTCTTCAACTTCTCAACCTCGCAGAAAGCCCGCAACACCCTAAACCCTAAACCCAGGCTCTAACTCAGAAGTCTGTTTGCCCAGCCGAAAACTGCACTAGAGCGCTGGACCGCATCTACATGTATGTATATTATATATATATATACACATGCATATGTAGAGATGATCTAACTTCAAAATTTAGACACACACATATGTATATATATATATATATACATATATATATATATATATAGATGCTTCAGTACAACACGGCATAAAGGAAGCGAACATGGGTTGCTCACCAGACAGCATGTAAGATGCCCGACATGTGATGTAGAGCCCTTGCCCTTCCCACCCACACAGGCCGAACGTCGGCTTCCACTATTCTGGCCTTTACTGGAAGGAAGGGATTAGTGAGGATGGGATATCGAAACCCTAAACCCTAAACCCTAAACCCTAAACCCTAAACCCTATCAGGGTCGTGCCTGCAACCTTCTCGATCTTGAGAGGTGGCGTATGCCGAATGCATCCTCAAGTTGGTGAAGGAGGCGTTGTGCAGGGCCTACGGATTAGTGGTTTAGGGTTTAGGGTTTAGGGTTTAGGGTTTAGGGTTGGGTTGAAGTGCAGGGTTTATAGAGTTTCAGACCGACAATGGTCAGCGCAAGGTCTGCTCAGAGTGTGCTTGAAGGACATCAAAGAAGAATAAGTGGGGCATCGTGTCCGAAACATGGCTGGCTGTGGTTATTTTGAACTTTCCTACGACCGGAAGCCACTTTACGCGCAAGCACATCTGATAGGTATGTATGTACTTATGCATGGATGGATGGATGGATGGATGGATGGATGGATGGATGGATGGATGCATGTATGTGTATATAAATATATACACATGACCAACCTTGCAGTGGTGCTGGCCTCCTCGGATTCTTGCTGCTTTGGAAGTTGTGGGATCAGGGCTGAGGCTCCTTCCGCAGGCACCGACGCGTCGGATTGTATTGCTTCTTCAACGAAGCCCAACAGCCTGGAGTTAGGAAAGGTTGTCGGTGTAAATCGTACTATGATGTCTTTAAGCATACAAGGGACGAAGAGGAAAATGTTTAGCTTCCTAGTTATTCCGCCCCCTATAGTGGTGTACTTGGGCCAAGGCGCCTCAACCTAGGACGGAAGCCTTAAGCCTTGAATCCCCGCACCCCAGAGGTGAGCCTACTAAACCCCCTATGCCACTATGCCTCGAACGTGAAGTCTTGAACCTCGAAACCCTAAAGCGCTAAACCAAAGCCTGCACCCCTAAAGCTCCAAAACCTTAGAAACAAGAACCGAAAGCTCACAAGCCCCCGCACCGCACGGCTTGGATTCAAGAGCTTAGTGCTTGGCCGGCGGTGAGGGTGTGGGGTTTTCAGACCCAAAAATCCCGAAATGCAAAACGAACCCCTAAAACCCTAAACCCTAAACCCGAAACCCTAAAACCCTAAACCGTAAACCCCAAACCTTAAACCCTAAAACCCCTAAAGCCCTAAAGCCCTAAAGCCCTAACCACTCTCCTGACAGGCTTGTATCCCAACCTACTCGGCCTGGCTAGCTCAAGTCCAGCGCAGCTCCCAGGCCCCGCGCAGACGCTTGGGGAGGGTGACGGTTTAGGGTTTAGGGTTTAGGGTGTGGGCACTGAGGGTTCCGGGCTTTTGGTTTCGGGTTTGGGCCTTGGATCTGTCATGGATGTCAGTGTCATCACGAGTCGTCATCGTTGTGTGGACATGGGAGTTTCAGAAGATAAGAGACCGAATATAGATCTTACAGGGCCGGGTCCTTCAGTCAGATAAAGGTTCGCAAATAGAGGACAAGTGATTCTAAGACATCCCCGCGCATGCCAGGAATTGAGGTTCAACATCCTCGTATATGCTGCATATGGGACATGTAGATACGCCAATCGTTAGGTTCATCAGAGAGATACGCCCAGATTTTGGGACCCCTAGACCAAGCGGTTTAGGGCTTGGGGTCTAGCATTTGGGGTTTAGGGTTTAGGTTAAAGCCCAAAGCCACATAGTTTGAGCCCTGCACTTAAAACTCAATACTCCCCCCAACTATCTTCCTTCTTAGACGGGTATGGTGCCCTCTGGAAACTCCAACAGAGCACCAACAACAGGAGATCATCCAGAAGCACGGTGCCAGCAGTGCTGCAGCGCAGAAGCAGCCGCCGGTCCTGTCAGATCACTTGTACCCAGATAGTAGGCCCAATGCCAGTAATCCTGAAATTACATGCCAATTCCTAAACCCGAAACCCCAAATCCCAAACCTTATTCCCTCCCTTCAAAGGTATGGGGGGGCTCGCGGGATGGGGTCTCCCGTTCCGGGTTTTCATGAGGATCCTAATGATGGCACCCGGACACAAGGGATTTTAGAGGGCTTTAACTCACAGGTGAGTTGATACATCCTACTATAGGGGCCTTAATAAAACCTATACTCTTTTGGTGGCTCCTTATTATGATTATAGTAAAAGGGGCCCCAAAGCCCTATTCTAATTATTCAGGCCCCTATATTAAGCCCTAAACTTCGAAGTTCAGGTGGCAGATTTTGAGTTCAAAGAGGTATCTTTTGGGTGTTGTTTTTGTGTTTTTGAGGCTTGAGACTTGGAGTTTCTAGGGTCTAAAGTTAAAGTCTAGGGTTTAAGCTGTACGGGCTTAGGGTTTAGGCTCTAGAGTTTAGGGTTCTTGGTGGTTAGGAGTCGAGGACTCTTGTAGCTCTTGTCGGAGTCGGTTGGGGAATTCAATGGGAGATTAGGAAGTCAGATTAAGGCGTCCCCAGGATGTGTCGAAGTCGGCGGCTGCCTCAGCCAAGTAGGAGTTGAGGTGTCTTCTTTACTGGCGAAGCGCGGTTGGAAATGGAGTTGGAGGATTAACGTAGGGGCCTACATAATTACCTATACTATTTTGGTGGGTTCCTTAGTATAATTGTAGTATAATATACCCCAAGACCCTGTTCTAATTATGAAGGCACCTACCCTAAACCCTAAACCCTAAACCCTAAAGCCTAAACCCTAAACCCTAAACCCTAAACCCTAAACCCTAATTATGAAGGCACCTACAGTACTCATGGCTTGGCACTCAGATTTCGGGGCTTCAGGGTCTCAGCTCAGCCGAGGGCTAACGCTGGACATGCCCTAAACTTCTTAAACCAAAAACGCTAAACCCGAAGCCCTAAACCCGAAACCCTATACCCTAAGCCCTAAACCCTAAACCCCAAGCCATACACCCGAAACCCTAAGCCCTAAACCCGAAAACCCTATACCCTAAGCCCCAAACCCTAAGCCATAAACCCGAAACCCTAAGCCCGAA